CTCCATGTCTCCAGCTCTGCAATAAGGAATGCCTGCTTTTTAAGATTCCAGTGCGAGTCTTAGAGAGTTTTATTTGCTGACTTTTATGGAATCACTTTGTGGCATAAAGGACAGGCTGAAGGTCTGGTGTTGTAGGAGTGCATACGTCTTCTCCCAGGTGACAGATGATAAAGTTCCAGTTACTCAACCCCAGGCAGGGCTCTAGCACCAGCAGGTTCATCCCTTGTTGGGTCTTTACCTGGCAAGGGTTGTCTCTGCAGCCAGCACAGCCCAGGGACCAGTCACCCATTTTAATATGCTGGGTAGGATGGGGAGAGAGTCTTCTTGGTCCTTCCTGTGTCTCTTAGCCCAGTCATGAGATGCTGTGCTGTCAGGGGTCCTCTGAGATGTTGGGACATCCATGCAGGGAAGCCACCTGCTACAGAGGGGGTGCAAAGGTGGTGACTGTTGTGCCTATCTGCTGCCTTCAGGCCTTGCTCAAGAAATCAGTGGCAATTTACTGGGGGCTGGGGAAGACAAAAAAGTTGACTTCAAGAGTTTGAGCTGCTCAGTACTGATTTATTTACACCAAGGTAAGTCAGAAGGTACTTCCTAAAACTGGAGGTTAAACACATAGGGAACTACCATGAGAGGCTATCAGGGGGAGTGCGTTGTGTGCTGCGTAAGTCACATGGAAGAAATCTCATCATACACAAGAGGCATCATGTGCACACATGATGAGGGGAGAAACAAGACTGCCGTAGAACTGAAAGTGAGCAAAGCTCTCCTTCAAGGAGGTCTCACGGTCATGCACACACAGCAGATGTGGAGCTGCACAGCTTCCCCTGCTTGCACATCATCCAGCCCAGCTCTCAGATTGCCTCCTCTCACCCATCTTAAAAAGAATCTTTGTTATTGAGTAGTAAAGGTCCCTTTTAACCCACAGCACAACTTACTCTACTAAGTAACATCAATACACTTTAAAAGTACTTGTTGCATGTCAAATTCTGTTACAAAGTGTGTTGGGTGTCATTCTGCCAATACCATGGTTAATGCTGGATTAACCCTGTGGTGCATGATGTGTGGCTGCTCACTCAGCTCAGGTTTTGGGCTAATGCATTCCTCATGTATGCTGAGAGTAGCATTGTCAGGTTAAAGCAAGGGCATCATGTATGCTGGACACAAGGGACAGGGGAATGGAAGATCCATCATTCCCTGCAGCATGGTGGCAGCAGCAGGCAGCTTAGGATAAAACTCTTGGGAGGCCATAGAAATGGCATAGAGCACATGTCCAGGGTGGAAGGTAGACACAGGTCAGCTTACCCAAAAAAGCCTCTGGAACTGGTAGCCACACTTCTGGGGTTCTCCTGCTTCCAGCCACCAGCTGGGCATGAGGACAGGGACAGGAGGACCACAGTCTCTGGTAGCTCTTCTGCTTGTGCATGAGTGCGAGTGAAGTGAATGTGTGAGTTGGGGAATTAATTACAAAACTAATTAATTAAACTAGCCTGATACCAGGGGGTTGATTTGATTGTTGGTTTTTACCTTAGTTGTTCTTTAACTCGTGAGCTCCTCAGATGAAGTCTGATTCTCATGGGGCATTTTCCAGTAAATCTCAGTGCAGGAAAAGTAGCACTGCTGACAGGATGTTGAGAAGTAACAGAAGATGAGCGCAGGCTTCGTGAAACCTCTTGTGACAAATCTTTGCACAAAGCCAGCATGTGACCACAGATGGATGTGAAACCACTTTCTTATTACTTTCCTTTGGGTCTGATGTGCTTGGCATGAGCCACATATAGGAGGATCTGGGACCCTTGGCCCCAGTTGTGAGCTCCCTGTTGCACACTGGACTTCACGTTTGGGTGTCTCCCAGCCTTACCCCCAGCACCAATTTGTGTCTGATGAGCCAGCTGAGCAGACCCACTCCACTGTGTGCAGCGCCCCTGCCATGGGAAGGACAAGAGATACATAGGCATGGGCAGGGTACAGTTCTCTCCTTGTACCAGCTGTAGCCACTTAGGTTTTGATGAGATGTGAACCTGACCCTTAGCTACATTTCTAAGGGCTGTGAATAATTCCCCCAGCTCAGCTCCTTTCTCCTCTGACTTCTATAGTTACAAGGACTTCCCTTTCATCTGAGTCATTCCTTTTTACTTGAGTCATTCCAAGCTGTGGAAAAGAGGCATGGTCTGGGTGAGAGGGGTCTTCCATCAGATCAGTGGAGACACTGGGATAAACCAGTATCATATGCAGAAGTCCTTCTCTGTGTCTGAAATGAAACCCTGAGTTTGTTACTCTGCCTTTTGAAAGGGCTGGTGGGACCACAGCTTTGGAGAGAGGCCCCCAGGCACCCTCCTACCAAGCAGCTACCCCTGACCTGCACACCAGTGAGCTTACAGTGGACCCTCTGTTCATGAACCACCTGCTTTTTGCCACTCAAGACACCAGGGTTCGTATAACTAATAGTACAAAGGCAGTGTACTGGGGAAGGTGGCTCTGCTCATTTGCAGTGGTGTTTGAAGTTGTGTCGTGGAGTGGTTTCAAATGGTACAAAGGACAGGTGGGAACGCCTGCATGTGGTTTGTGCCAGCACAGAGTAGAATAAGCTAGTTTCTGCTTGCAATGTCCCTGCAAAATACAACGGTAAACCACATAATTTATACTCCGTTCTCTGCAGAGAAAGCAAAAATGTATTCAGGAAGAGGTGGGGTTTTTTTAAAGACTCCTGAGTCTTTATCAAAATTGTGTTTACTGTAATGCATGTTAAATAGGTGAATATTAATTTCATCTGATTTCTTCCATTGCCTCCCTGGAAATAATTTTATTCTTACTGTGTGGAAAAAGGCATTACAGGTTTGGACTTTCTGGCTGTTGAGGAGTTTTGCTCTTGGCCTTGCTGTGGCTAAGAGAGGAGTGCTTTGCAGCTGACTGCCTGTCTTCCCCCAGTGCCACCTCATGGATCAGGAGAAGCCGCATGTGAAGGGGGCCACAGCCACCAGCCATAAGCAGATGCTCAGGCCTTGTGGTGGCTGCGACGGGAGGCGATGGGCACACTTGGGCCAGCGCTGGGTGATGGTGATGCTCTTGCTGAGCTCCAGGAGCTCCTGTTTTGATTTCACTGGTGAGATATTTACAGGTTTTTTTTGACCGACTTAAACAGTGGGTGAAGGGAATGAGCTGATGCTGGTGGTTTTGGTGGTGGTTTCTCAGAGGGACAAAGCGCAGTTACAGCTTGATGCACTGGAATCTGTGGGGAAAAAAGCACTTGCAGGGTCTGGTTGCTCAGACAGTGTCACCCCAGCTCTGAACAGAGCTTTAACAGACTGTTTAAATCCCTCAGGTGCTGCTGATGAGCCTTTTCCTGCATTATCTCCCATAATGACTGCATTTCAGCTTCCCATCTCCCTTCTTCCCCAGCAGACTCCCAACCTAGTCTGGCCAGCCGGTGGGATGTCAAGTATTTCCTCTTCTAAAAAGCATTGGTTGAACTACAACTTTTTGCAAACCTCAATTTCTGCAGCCCATTGCAATGTTTGGTTTGGGTTTTTGTTCGGTTTGGTTTTTTGGTTGTTTTGTTTGGTTTTTTGGGGTTGTTTTTTTTTAATTGAAAGAAAAATGTGCAAAAAAAAAAAAAAAAAGATAAAAAGGAAAGCATGTACAATGCAGGCAGGGGTCAGCCAGGCAGCCCCGTCATAAAGCAGTGATAGCTGCAGTTAGACTTTGGAGCTGTTGGAAGCCAAAGGAGTTATTCAGGGCAGGGCTTACTGTTATCCCAGCAGTACTATTGGTAAAAAGGCTCTGCTTAATATGTCATAAATCCCAGCCTGTTGACAAAGCTGGTAAATGTCAGTTTAACCCCAGCTTCTCGCTGGTGGCAAGCAGGAAGGGAAGTGCCATCAGAACTTTATGTGGGAGGCTTTGAACTTGCGTTGCTCCTGTCAGGCAGCAGTTCAGATCCCTCTGTGCTCTGTGCACGCTCTGTGCACTGTGCTGGGAAACAACAATCACTGTCCTGGTGTCGCAGCTTCTCTATGCAATATGGAAGTGTATCCAAGCCTGCCAGTGACTCACACAGGGCATGAGTGATTAAATATTTGGGGCATGTTGATGAAGAAATAGCAAACATTAGTTTCTCATGGAGCAAAATGAATGTGCGTATAATAAGGACTCAGTTAATTTTATAATAGCTGGGCTATGAGGCTTGTGACAAGCACTTAGGGAACCAGCCTAATTTTTATAGACACCCTCCATGTGAGGTATATTGATTAATCCAGAAATGAAAACCCAAATGCATCCTTAAGAAGGAGCAGGGAGCATGCCTGCTGGAGATGCACAACAGGATTAAAAGCAAAATTACTATCCCATCCTGCTGCCTCCTTATCTGGGCTCAATAGAAGTGGAGGAGGACAGTCAGGGCTGGGGTTCCCACCCCACATCACAATGCCATGGCACAGGGTGCTGACCTGCAGGGAGCCACCCTGTGGTGCGGGTGGGTCTAGTAGTTGCTAAGCAAAACCAGTTGTTGCTGGCTTTGGCTGAGAGCATCCTGGTTTGCCCCCTGCACCAGCAGGTTGGGGCAGGGGCTGTTCTGGGCACCCCTTTCCCTTTCACCCCAATGCAACCTGCTTGCCATCGCCTAAGGGTGGTTGTGAAAGCAAGCAGATCAGCACAACCCCTTCATCTGAAGCCTCTTCCTTAAGAAAAGGGAAAAGCTCAGAGTGAAGGACCCTACAGTGCTATTCATCTAGTCTGGCCTATAATCTGGGAAGTATGCTTTTCCTTTAGGGAAAAATGGTGGGGAAATGTCTATCCCCATGAACACACATCACTCAGAGCTGTTATCCGCCAGACGATAACCTCAGTACACAGAGTTAAGGGAATAAGACAATATACATGCAATCAGTTTTTTTCAAAGACAAATAGCAGTCTGTGATTTAATTTGGGGGGCAGGTCGAAATAAAACTGCGCAATATCTATAACCATACTGAAAGGGCACAGCTCCTGACCTCCCCTTCTAGTTACCTCCCACCACTGCACTCGCTTACTGCTGGCTGCCAATAACAGCCTCCAAGAAAGAGAAACTTTAGTTTCATCTTCCCCAGAGTCTCTTTGTGCAGGGCTCCAGACAACAAGGAAGAAGGCACTGGCAGAGTCTGCTCACCAGAAGGTTGGTTCTCTTAAAGCATGGGAATAGTAAAAACCTGATAGCCTGGGGAGAGTGGGATAGTAGTGCAAGATTTTGTGGCTGTTGTGGTTTGGGGTTTTTAATTTTTTTATTTATTTTTTTCTGCCCAGGACATTTTTTAAAGCCAAAAATATGGCAAATCCTACTTGGGGAAAGGGGGTGGATTAAAAAAAGCTAGGCAAAAAAGCTGGATTATGGAGAGGTTATTTCTTCCGTGCTTCCTTCTGCTTCCAGGATTGTGTACCTGCATTAAAGGACTCTGCTGGTACTTTGTTCTCTGTTTAAACTGGATTCTTTCTTGTCTACATGGACGCTTAAGGTGAAATTCCTCTTAGCAAGGCTGTTTTGTTGCATGTGTTTCCTGGTGGGCTCTGAGGATGTGCTGGACGTAGCTGCTGTCCTGCCAGAACCCTGCTTGTCACTCGCTTTTATATGTTGCTACCTCCTCTCCCTATGTATTTGCTGTCCTTTCCAATGGGATGTGCTACTGGTGACAAGAGCAGCTTAATGTTGTGATCCTTCATTAATGTTCGCAACCATGAGAGAAAAAAGGATGTCAGTAATGCTCAGGATACTCTATACTGTGCCTTTCTCAAGGTGTAGAAAGCAGATTTACAGTGTGTTGGTGACATTGCTGTGGGTCGGCAGAGGGAAGCCATACCTTGCTTCCCTCTGTCTCTTCCCAATATCTTCCTGTGGGGAGAGACACGTCTTCCAATGCCTCTTCCCAATGTCTCCCTCCGAACACATACCTGATACAGTGCCTTTGCCTGCATCCACACCGGGTGCACAGGCTGGTGTGTGCTGCCTGCTGAGCCAGGAGTGGGATTTCTGGAGGAGCACGCATTACCCCGAAGTGTGGAGAGGGAAGGAGACCCCCCCTTCCCAGCACTGTTCACTCAGTTCTGGTTTCTATTCTGCCTTCTGAGCTCAGGAGCTGGTGGGGAGGAGCCAGACCACCCAGCGGTGGTGCTGCCTTTGCCAAGGAAGTCTCAACAAATGTGAGCAGACAGGGGCCTGGAGTTTTCCTTCCTCTTTCTTCTACCAGTGCATAACTAGAAGAACTTGGCCTCAGGGCAAAACGTAGTTGTAATTGTTACCTGCGAATGTTTTGTGTTGTTTTGTCCTTGGGTGGGAGAACAGGAGCACAGAGCTTTTTGCTCTGATTTTTTTCTTTAGACCTCAGGCTTCTTGGTTTTCAGGGTTTACTTGCTTGCTTACTCACAGGAAGGCAAAGACTGGGTTTCAGACTTGGGGCATTGCATTGAGTTTCTGCCTTTCTGGCTCTCTATGACAAGAAACTGGAGATACTCGTTTTCTACAGTATCTTTTTTGCATGGAGCCTGGCTTCGTTATGAGGAAGTGAGAGAACATGGCTGCTTCCTGCGTGCTTGCTATTCATGCCACACCAGTCTTGTGCAAAATATGACAAGTTCAATGACTGAAATGCCCGGGTCACTGACTTTACCCTTGGTTCACTGCCCAGCCCTGCTTGGCACAAGGGAAATTGGTGAACTGTGTCTATGCACTAGTGAAGCCTTTCTGGGATGGAGTGGGGAACATCAGTGGCTTGATGCTATTTTGAAGGCTGGATAAAATGGCATAAAATGCAAAACCCTTGAGAAGATGTAAATGTGTGTAAGATAGGGTCACGCTTTGCCACACATCCAGTGGCAGCAAGGCAGCTGGCAAAAGGCTCCCTGCTGAAGAGTGATGGCAACCAGCTCGGTTGGGGGACCAAACTGAGGGCTGTTGTTTTACTAACTGCCCCATTCCCCTCCTGTCTCTTTCAGAAGTGCAACTAGGAATGGCTGTCCCAACCGTTGTGACGATCCAGCCACAGTACGGCATGGCCGTGCCCACTGCCTCGAGAAACATGTGGCAGACAGGGTTGATGGACTGCTGCTCGGACTGCGGCGTGTGTGAGTGCTCCCATCTCTCAGCAGTCAGCAGTGACATGCTGCAGTCGGTCCCATGCCCTCTCGGGATGCTTGTCTCACCCCAGCCGCTCGGGTCGGTGGTGTGACAGCTACAGTTGTGTAGCCTGGTCCTCTCAGTTCCCCTCCCGATGGCAGTGGTGCTGGGCAGGCAGGCAGAGCCTCACATGCTGCTGTGTTTCTTTCCCTGCCAGTCTGCTGTGGGTTATTCTGCTTCCCGTGCCTGGCGTGCCAACTCGCTGGGGACATGAATGAGTGCTGCCTATGTGGGACCAGCGTGGCCATGAGGACCCTCTACCGTACCAGATACAACATCCCGGTCAGTGGTTAACCTGCCCCTCACTGTGCTGTGGGGCTGGAATATGAGATACACCAAAGGCCCCCCTCTCTGCACATGAGGGATGAGCATAGGGTTGCAGCAATCTCCACTCACTGTTTTTTTTGCCACTCCTTTATCCTGCATGGTGCCAGGAGCACAGGACAGGGGCTGGACCACCCTCGGGTGCACTGATCCCTGGGATGGTGTCCAACAACACTCCCTAATCATTAATCGGGCACAGCTCCTTCCCAGCACCCTTCACTGGGGGCACAAGTCCTGCCTTCAGCTGCCGCTGACCACAGTTGATGCTTCCCCACGCTATCCCCAATCTTTGAAAGATGGGAAAGATTTGGGAGAATTGTGGGCAGACCAAAGGACAGATTAAGCCAGCTGCACATATAAACATCTGTAATTGGATGCAGAAGAAAGGTGGACATTCACTTAAATTACAAAAGTGAAATGGTTTCTTCCCAGCTGGGGGTTTGTGCCATTCCCAGATGAGCCATGCTGGGCCAAAACCAGTGTGTCCAAAAATCTATCCTCTGTGTGTGTTCCCTCCCAGTTTTAAAACTCAGAAGCCAAAAGATAATTAGCTATCTGCAACCTGCAGAAAGGGCTCTTTCCTTCCTTTCCACTGCATGTGGGTTCTCCAGCACTGGTTTTTAGTATCTGATACTCAGGACACTGCAGCCAGCCAGGAAACAAAGGGCACACAACCTGGAGCGTGCTAAATCTCTTCTTGGCCGAAATGTGCCTTTTAGGAAGCCTTCACCCCTAACCAATTTCTTCCTGACAGGGGTCCATTTGCTCTGACTGTTGTGTCAGTATGTGGTGCCTCATGTGCTCTGTTTGCCAAATGAAGAGAGACATCAACCGGAGGAAGGAGCTGGGCATATTCTGGTAAGCGGGGTATGCTGGTTCTGGTTTGTAGAGCCACTGCCTCACGCAGCCATGCGGCTTCACAGAGTCTCTCCTGCCAATGCCTGACATGTAACGCAGGGTCACTGCAGTAGGGAAATGGCCATGGGTGGGTAACAACAGAGACTTGCCCCTCAGCACAGTATTGTTGGGAAACTTGTGCAGGAAGGGGTGGGGAAGACTAAGGACATACACACAGTGTGGTGGGGCATGGCCCCACTCCCTGATCCTCGTCTCCCATCCCATTGCAGATGCTGCCATCCTCACTGCATCCTGCAGAGCTGCTGCAGGCAGGAGTCACCGCATTCTTGGCTGTTGGGAAATGCACCATGGAGAGGTTGCCTTGACTGTGCTTGATTTCCCTTTCCCCAGGTAGCAGCAGCAATAAAGAGCAGTTTGTCTTCCTGGCTGTGTGTGTGTGTGTCACTCTTGCACCACCTGAGAGCACGCATCCTTCTCTGCTCTGCCTGTCTTGGCAGCCCCTGGTGCAGCTGAGATTTCCTTGTCCCTGCTGCGGAGACGGATTTTCACTGTGTTTTGTTAATTACTCCGCTTTTAGAAAGGATGTTCAATGCATAGGAGGAGTCAGTGTTGGATGAGCAACACACTCATCCAAGCTGTAAAACTTGGCAAAGTGGCTTCTGTCCAGGGGCAGAGCTGGGACTTCTGGCAGATGAGTGATGGCTGCAGGCCACTGACTGATGAGGTGCCCCTGCTGCGGTGGCCCCAGTGGCCATCCAGGGCTGCTAGCCAGGCTGAACATAAAGCTGCCTGGCCCCACTCCATCTCCTGGGTTGCAGAGACACGTTCCTCTATGGACCCTGAGCAGGAAATTCCACCTGTCTGTGGAGATGACCAAAAGTTTAGAGCAGCTTCCAGACAAGGAATAAGTAAATGCACTTCCCTGGCAGTGTTCAAGGCCAGGTAGGAGGGGGCTTTGAGCAACCTGGTCTAGTGGAAGGTGTCCCTGCCTGTGGCAGGGGGTTGGAACTGTATGAGGTTAGAGGTGGCTTCCAACCCAAACCATTCGTTTATTCTGTGGCTCTGTGACAGAAAACCTGGTTGTGTCGTGGGTTGGCCAATTCCTCTCCATGGGCAAACCCTGCCGCCTCCTGGCCACAGCCAGGCACAGCACACCCGCCTGCTGTTGGCGATAGATAGGCTGTCCAAAAGGCAAAAGTTACACCCACCTCTCTCTCCATTGCTCTCTGAGAGATGCTAAAGGATTTTTGATCCCTACAAATCTTCCCCCATCTTCACTGACTACGGAAAACATGGTATTTTTTCTCCCTTTACCTTCGTCTTTACCACAAACCTTGTGAAGGACAGGTGTTTTATCAGTGCTGTGGGTGGTTCTGCGTCATGGTGTGCCTAAACCCCAGATAGCCCAGAGAGTCCTATGGATGATCCCTGGAAACGCAGTAGACTGCATTTTTAGCCTGAGAGGTGAAGGCTAGTGGAGAGGGGGAGAGAAGAAACACCATGCTGCTGCTTCATCCCTCCATAGCATGGCTTGATTTTGTGGCTGTACCTCGAGGCAACAGCTGTTATCACCCAGTTATGGTCAGTTCTTGCTAATGCTCAGGCTTAACAAAGAAAAGGCGCTGCAACTCTAGCAGCAGAATGATTAAGGCAGTGCAGGAGCCTGAATGCAAACTGTCCTCTACCAACAGCAGTATGTCCCATTAGGGCTCTGGGGCTGCAGGAGCCTGTCAGAAGTGGCATCAAGCTTGCAGCAAGCTGCCTTCAGCAGGGAAGCTGAAATTGCGCAAAGCAGCAGCTAAGCCGGTGTCTGATCTGTTAGTCAGAGGGAGAGGAGGTCATTCACCAGGGAGCACCCAGAGCATATAAAGGATGAGGACCAGGAAAAAGATATGCATCTCCTGAGACAAAGGCGGCTCATCCGGTATGTATGGCTTGGCTTTGCTTTGCAAGAGCTGCGATGCAAAACTATGGAAACTGCTCACGGCTGAAGTGGTGTTGCTGGGAAAGGGGAAAGGGTGGAAATGGAGGTGAGATTTTCAACCTGGAAAGCTACTTCAAAGCTAAACTAGAGTATGCTGGGTGCTGCTGACAGGCATCTCAACAGAAGCGGCAGCAGAGGTAAAGGATAGAAGCTTTTGCACTGTATCATTCATTTGTGCACATATGTTTATGACCTTTGTTATGGGTGAAATGTGCCTGCATGCACCTCAGGATCATGCTGTGGAGCTGTAGAGCTGGGGGCACTGAAGGTGATGTGCAGGGCCTGGGCAACCTCTCAGCAGAGGAGCATGCAGTGGAGGCTTCTCCAGGCTGCTGCCTGCTCATACCACAGCCTCCATTCATGCAGAGGGATGGTGCGCTCAGACTTGAGGAAAGGAAAAGCCAGCCCTTCCTGCAAAGGGCACAGTGTGTGTGTAGCAGTGAACATCACTTGGCTGCACTGAACATCACTGTGCTGCTATTAATCTTGCTGTGTGGTGGCGGGTGAGTGCCTTCTTTGGCACAGGAGGCTGGTGGGATCCTGTTCATAAACCTTCCCAGGCTGCTGCTCCCACACACGCTTCTCCCTGTGGTCCCTGAAGTCCTGCCTGCTGCTAGGCATCCCTTTCCCTGCATGGGACCCATATGCTGTCCCTGCCTGGCATCCCCATGGATGGGGCCTGTGGTCTGTCCCCTTCCCTGCCCTTCGTGGCTCCTGCCTCTTCTTAAATCACCCTGTGACAAGGCTCCCCATGGGGCTGCCATTTTGGCATTCTGTGGGGTGTTACATTGGCTACAGAGGTGATGGGAATTACCTGGGGACTTTTGCATGAATAAGCAGGGACAGCAAACTGGGGCAGAGGTGGGAGATGTCCAGTGACATTTGATGGGTGCCATGGCCCCCACTGCACCCCTGAGTGGTGGGGCTGCCTGTGCTCACCCCAGAGGTGTCTACCAACAGCCAGGAGATGTGCTCCAGAGAAAGCACAGCAGCATTTTTTACTGCTCAACAGCCCTGTTCTGTAACAGCAAGAAAACACCCTTGTCTTTTAAACCTCTGGTGGAGGCCAGTGGTGGAGAGAATCCCTCAGGGTAGTGGTCCCCCCTTAATGGCCTCTCATCACCTAATGAGAGCAGATACTGGTGTCTCAGATAGTGTCAGCCCAGCCATGTTTCACTGCCTGCAGGAAGCAGAAAAAAGTCAGTCATGAGCAAATCACTTTGAGAGTTTTTACAAGCCTTCTTCTGTCTTACAGCATAATCCAATGTCTCTTTTCCTCTCTATGTACTACCAGGGAACAAGGGTTGGCCATATGGCAACAGGCTGTTTCTGACAGCAGAGATGTGTCCAGGCTAGTCTGTAAATTATGGAGAGCTGCTGGCAGATCCCCCAACCCCTTTGCCACCTGTTGACAATAGTCAATATAGTCAATACAAATGCAATCTGTATCTCTACAGTGTCAGATGCAGGTATTGCATTCTATGGCATCATCTGAGTTCTGGGCATAGTTCCACCATATTCCTGGAGAATCGCCTTTAATACTCAAATTCTGTGTAGATGTGTAATTCTAACAAGGTAGATTTAGATTAGATACTAGGAAGAAATTCTTTACTGTGAGGATGCTGAGACATTGGAAGAGGTTGCCCAAGGAAGCTGTGGATGCCTCATTCCTGGCAGTGTTCAAGGCCAGGTAGGACGGGGCTTTGAGCAACCTGGTCTAGCGGAAGGTGTCCCTATCTGTGGCAGGGGGTTGGAACTGGGTGAGCTTTGAGGTCCCTTCCAACACAAACCAGTCTGTGATTCTACAGTCTACTGTGAAAATAATGCCGTTCGCTTTAGAGTGCTTTTAAAGACTTTACAGGAATTAATGCCATCATACTTCACTTCAAAATGTAAAAGCCTCCCCTGTTTTTCTTCTTGCTCCTCCTAGCACCTCGAAACTCAGGTGCTCCCTTGTCACACAAGGGCAGGGAGCTCCAGGGCAGGGAGGGGAAGGCTGCTTGACAGGCACCCCCTGGACACTGTCACCCAGACAGGCAGCAGTGCTGCCTGCGTAGGCAGGAGAAACATGTCAAAGCTGGGCAGGAGAAGGCAGGACACAAACTGTACAAGGGTTCTCTGTTGAACACACATAATGTCCACCATAGAAATGCCCATGGGTTATGCAGTGATGTGATGGTGGGTGAGAAGCTCTCCAGGGAGCTGCCCTAGGACCCCTCCTGGGCAGAGGAGCAGCAGCCTGCAGTTATGGGGTTTAAAGCTCTGGCTGCTTTCCTGCTGATCATTTCTTTGCTGAGGATGAATGGCTGTGTGCTAGAAGGAAGAGGAAGCCCTTGCAGCTGTAAAAGCGTGTGAGCATCTCATTCACATGCTGCTTACCAGAGTGGTGCTCAGCATGGGCACAGGGCTGGGAATATATCTGCATGGGACTTCCTATTATTATAGAGGAGCATCCTCTATTATTGTTGTTGTTGTTGTTATTATTAAAGCTCCAAAGCTGAAATGAGAATGGCAAAGGGTGGTGCTGTGCTTTGCAGGGGGTGGTGGTAGGCAAGAGGCCACAGGTGGAGATAGAGGTGGAGATGGAGTTGTTATATGAATCAGGTGGGTTTATGGATTGTGCTGCAGATCAGGAGCTCTGCATTCACTGGGAAAGGACAGGCAGTAGAGGGGTTCCAGGGGCCCAAGAAAGAGGAGGACAAAGATGAGGCACTGGCAGGTAAAAAAGTGATAGGAACTGGTCACTGGGCTTAGGATGATGGAAAGGGACAAGGAGAATCCACTGCCTTGAAGCCTGCTGAGGAAGCAAGTGAAGAAGGAAGGGAGAGGAAGGCAAACAGGCTGAGATGCTTGGTGACTAAAGCAAAGACAAAGGTGAATACTGAGAACCTGGGAAAGCTAGGACTGAGCTGTAGTAGTTTTGGAACACTGAAAGCATAAAAACACTAACACTATTTTAAGCAGATAATGGTGAAAGATGAACTGCGGACGAGAAGACAGGATCAAAGTGTTGAATCACTGAGGTTCTGAAGCAGAAGGATCTCCATCTTTACAGAGGCATTTTACTTGCATAGGCAGGGGGATGTGGTGCTGCTGCCTTTAGTGGGGAGCTGGTTTTGTGGAGGGCTTTGCTGCAAAGGACAGCGGCAGCTCCTGGCCATGGGGCCCCCTTGAAAACCTGTGCTGCCCTCTCAGTCTTTGAATGCAGCAGCCTGAATCCACTTCAGAAACACCAGTGGCATCTTTCTCTGATGGCTTTTCCTTCCAGACCACAAACTGCCTAGAGGGACCCGACTCTGTGCTAGCAATGGCCTCTCAGCAAGTGATCACAGTCCAGCCACAGTGTTCAATGGCCCCACGGGCAGGCGAGTGGCAGTCAGGGCTGATGGACTGCTGCTCCGACTGCAACGTGTGTGAGTACATATGTACCCCTTGCTTCTGGTGTTGGCTCACAGTGTGTTTCTGGTGTTTTCTCCACTCACTCTGCAGCATCACCTCTGTTGCAAACCCCACTTTTGTGGGTGCCAGTAGTAAAGCAGCTTTCATCTGAGGTCAAGAGCCATGGCTCCCCGACCAGCTTTATCGCCTTTCCTCTTTCTTTGCACCCCTCAGCCAAGCCCATGTCTTGCTGTCCACAGGTCTTTGTGGAACCTTCTGCTTCCCCTGCCTGGGGTGCCAAGTGGCTGAGGACATGGATGAGTGCTGCATGTGTGGCCCCAGCATGGCCATGAGGACACTCTATCGCACCAGATACAACATCCCGGTCAGTGACCCAGGCATGCCCTGCTGGCAGTGACAGTCACAAGCTGGGTGCTGGGGTGTGGGCTCAGGGGAGGATAAGGTGGAGTCCAAGGGGAAGAGCAGTGGTGGGAAGTTGCATGGGCAGCATCAAGCCAGAGACACATCTGCATCACTACTGTGAGCTTCTGGTTATCCTATTGAACATCACTTCATCCCAATCCTTGCTGGGCATGAGCAGTGCGCTGCAGGGCTGAAGGGCGATGTCCAAGAGTGTTGGTGATGAAAAATAGGGACACTTAAAAGCTGATGTGGGAAGGGGTTATTCAATGTCCCTTGCTCCACAGGGCTCCCTTCTGGGTGACTTTGCCTCCACTGTGTTCTGCCCCACGTGTGCTCTCTGCCAGCTGAAGAGAGACATCAACCAGAGGAAGGAGCTGGGCATATTCTCGTAAGGTGTGTGTGCTGGTGCTGGTTTATAAAGTCACTGCTGCACAGAACCAAATGTGTTCCCAGAGTCTCTTCTAGAGACACCTGAGTTAAGACACAGGGTTGCTGTGATGTCAAAACAGCAATGACCAAGTGAAAGGGTGACCTGACCCTCAGCAAAATGTTGCTGAGAATCTCTTGAGGATGGGGGATCTGCTAAGGGCTCATCACCTGGGTCTAACCAGCAGGGCTGGGACACACACACAGTGTAGCAAGGCATGGCCCTACTCCCTAACTCTCCCATCTCATCCCACTGCAGGTGTCGCTGTCCCCACTACGCCCCGCAGAGCTGCTGTGGGCAGGAGTCTCCAGTGCCTTGGGCTGTTGGGAAATGCACCATGGAGGGGTTGTCTTGATTGTGATTAATTCCCCCTTTGCTGGGCAACACCATCAATAAACAGCAGAGTTTGTCTTCCTGCCTGTGTGTAACGAGTATTTATTTCTCTGCATCCTCCTGCAGCACCAGAAGAGAGCATTTTACTTTTGTATGCTGTGTGGTCAGAGCAATGCTGAGGTTATCAGAGAAAGGAGACTTTCCCTTGCAGCCCTACACTGGGATAAAACCAGACCACAGATTTCAATGAGAAAATATAAAGCAAAAGCCTGCTGTGGACAGCTCAGCTGCTCTGTAGACACCAGAGCATGCAGAGCTGGTGCAGCATCACCCTGTGCTCAGAGGCCTGAGAGCATTGAACGCATCCCTATTTCTGCCTGGACCATCTGAGCAGCAATGGGGGGAGTGATGGTGATGGAGTGGGGATAGCAGTCCCATTCACTTTCCTCTCCGCAAACCTTGCTAGGAGTCCATGGTGTTGGAGCAGGGTTCTTGGTGTGGTGAGACACCCACAGCTGTAGGTGTTGGGTGTAATATACTGTGGTGGAAGAGCTGGGAGTATCTGAACCTTGCTGGGGCTTGGGTGTGCATTATCCATTACCTGTCACGGTGAAGAATGGTGAAGAGGTAACTCAGGCTGGGGTTGATCTGCGGTTTTCGCTGCTGCAAATCCCATTGTGCAATTCCCCTGGTGTGAAGAGGCTGTGCCCCTGTTGACAGTGTGTACATGTGCATTTGCACATTTGAAACACGATGTGCACAGAGAAGCAGAAGAAACTGGTTGTTGCAAGGTGACAGCCTGAGCAGGGAGCAGAAAAGCGTGCGTGTTGCTGTGGGTCAAGGTGTTGCCATGCTGGCTTGTGTGTGGCCCACAGGCCTGCTGGGTCACCTCTCCTCAATCCTGGCTGCTGGTCCCAAATCCCCATCGCTCACAGTCTGCTAGGCATGGGGTCTGTGCCTCCCCCTGTGGCACAGGCAGCTGTGTGATTTGGGGTGGCAGGGTCAGTGACAGCCCTGCTGCTCCAGAGCTCATGGGTGAGCTGAGAGCTCCCAGGATCAAGGTCTTCAAAACCAGCCAACCATGAGTGCTGGGGTTGCCCTTTTCCAGTGACAGGTGAGCCCTGCGCCCCCATCTCCCCTGCCACCATAATGGTTGTTATGGGGTCCCCCTAAAGTCATTCCTGCTTGGGGCCCTTCTATCCCTTGGCCCATCCTGGCAGGGGCTGCTGGCCCCCCATGGCTTTGCCCATCCCTATTCATGGTATCTCTTCTCCAGGTCTGTTTTTCTCCCAACACATACTTGGGACCAGAGCTCTGCCCCCTGCAGGGACCTGAATCCTCACAGGTCTCTTGTTGTAGAATCATAGACAGGCTTGGGTTGGAAACGACCTCAAGATCAGCTGGTTCCAATCCTCTTGTCATGCACGGGGATGCCTCACACTAGACCATGCTGCCTAAGACCCCATTCAACCTGACCTTGAACACTGACAGGGATGGAGCATTTACCACTTCTCTGAGCAACCTGTTCCAGTGCCTCACCAACCTCATGGTGAAGAATTTCTTCACGATAGCTAAGTTTACCCTCTTTCAGTTTAAACCTGTTACCCCTTCTCCTATCGCTACAGTCCCTAATGAAGAGTCCCTCCCTAGCACCCTTGTAGGCCCCCCTCAGGTACTGAAAGGCTGCTATGAGGTCTCCATGCAGCCTTCTCTTCCTCTTTGTTCCTGCAGGCAATGCTGTGGCAGTGCAGTGAGGAGCCAGGAGCAGCCAGCTCTGAGGCTTGGTGCGGGCACCAGTGCCCACCTCATCCAAGGGGTCTTAGAGGTGCAGAAACTGCAGGTGATGCCCAGTGAATGCCCAAAGCAGCTGCTGGCAAGAATGGGTCTTGGGGTCATGCTGCAGGAGAGGTGCTGTGCCACAGGGGCAGGAGGGTGGTGGTACTGCACCCACAGCAGAGCCCAGTGGGGTGAGCATGCCAGGGCTGTGTCTGTCTGTTCCACAGAAAAACTGCTGTGGGTGGTGGTATTCGTTGTTGCTGCACACATGGCTGGGGGGCATCCTGAGGGCTGCTGGGGCTGTGTGGGGCGGCAGCAGGTCTGTGTCACCACATGGGGGGTCTCCCCCTGGGTGTCACAAGGAGCTATACCCCTGGGCATGTTTCTCCTTCTCTGGGGGTAGTTTCTCAGCACAGGGGCTGTGGGGTGAGCATGACTGCTCCAGGCAGCAGGGTGATGGCAGCCCAGGGCTTGTGACCCTATGGGAGCCCCACGCAAGGCTGATTAGGGTGTGCTGCGTCACTGCCACAACCTGCAGGGGTGACACAAGGGTGTGAGGATTGCAATACCAGGTTTGTAGGATGCTGTAGTACACCACGACACAGAAACTTCGTTTCTGTGAATTTCTTTGTTACAAGTTATGACTAACAAGGCAAGTACATACGCATGATCACTTACCTACAGGCACACCTATATGTGGTTTTGAGGTGTTACCAGCACAGTACTCGCCAAACCGCTGCCAACAGCCAGAACGACAGAGAAGTCTCCTCACAGACCATCCATGTCAGAAGTGAGTCAGGCACCCCTAGCACGGGTCCGCCTGGGCACGAATGCGCCTGACCCAGCACCCTCCCGCCCGGGACAGCCGGGTCCTCCCTCACTCGGCTCCTGCGCGGACAGCGGCTCCCGCCAGAACCGACCCGGGACTCCCGTGGGGACCCCCGCGGCCCCCCTCCCACGGCTCCCAGCCCACCGGAGAACACTCCCCGGCGGCACCGATCGCTCCCTTCCTCCCCTCCGCCACCGGCTGAGGCGGAGCTGGCCGGCCCCGCCTACCTCCGTCCCGCCAATCGCCGCCGCGCCGGGCTCCGGCCCCACCGACGCCCGACCCGCGCTATGGGTCAATGCATCCCGGGGGAAGCCTGGGATGGCGATGTCGAAAGGTGGCGGTTCCGTGTGCAGAGGTGCTGCCCTCTGGGGACGTCCGCTGCCTGCTGCAGAATGGCGGGGTATTGGGAGAGTGAAAGCTGCGGGTTGAGAGAAGAACGGTTCAATAATTAAAATAAAGGATAATAGGAAGAATGCCAACAATGACAATAATAGGAAACAACAAGAGAAGAAATGAACATTCAGAAAACCCAAGTGATGCACAATGCAACTGCTCACCACTTGCCAACCGATACCCAGCCAGACCTGAGCAGCGATGTGGGCCTTCTGAGTGACTCCCCCCAGTTTATACACCGAACATGTCGTGCTGTGCTATGGAATACTCCTTTGACTAGTTCAGGTTGGATGTCCGGTCTCTGCTTCCTTCCAGCTTCTTGTGTGCCTCCTCACTGGCAGAGCATGAGATTGGAAAGTCCTTGATCAGGGTAAGTGCAACTGACCAACAACTAAAACATTGGTGTGTTATCAGCACTGTTCTCAGACTAAAGTTGAAGCACAGCACTGCACCAGTTACTGGGAAGAAATTTAACTGTTACAGCTGAAATCAGGACACACTGAAACACCACCAACCTTGGATGGCAAGACCTTCTCAGTGACAGGACAGTACAGTACCAACAAGCCCTGCCTGTGCTACGTCCCCAGAGACGCTGCATTATCACCCAACTCATGCTGTTAAGCCTTCCTGCTGACAGTGCAGTACCACCAAACTCGGACTGTAAAACCTCTGGTTGGACACGGCAATACCACCAAATTCAGGCTGTAAAACCACCACAGTGACACTGCAATACCCCCTGCAGTACCACCAAAACACCGCCTTAATGTTGGTCAACAAGAATATTGCCAACTCATGTAAGACCTCCCCAGTGCCACTGCAGTACTACCAAACTCCTACCAGAAGACCTCCTCCGCAGTACTGCAATGTCACCCAACTCCTGTCTGCAAACCACCCTCTAAAAGGCCAGGGCCAGAAGTACCCACCTTAGTACAGGGGCTACTCCAAGCACCTCCTGCTGAGCCAACAACCCCCGCCACTCATGCATTCCCAAGAAGCCCCATGGAGCAGGAGGCTCCAGCCCATATTTCAGTTACAGGCTAAATTGAGGAGGAGCACATAAGTGAAACAGCCCACTCCAACCTGCTGGGGAGCTTGCCCACTCAAGTACAATGTGTGATGTTAACACTGCAGTGGTGATTTAACTGCTGCTTTTCAGGGGTATGGATGTAATCATTCTGGGTGTGAATGTTAATCCTTGCAGGGAAAAGGCCCATCATGTTAGTTTCATAATAAGGCAGACCAAAGGGACTCCTGACAGATTTGCATATAATGCCAAACTGTAAGTACTGTACAGTACCATGCCAGCCTGATCCACAGCTCAGAAGTAACTCTTGGTGAGCATCCTATCAAGCAAGATTAGAATCAGGCTCCAGTCTTTCCTAGTGTTCATCACTTCAAGTCTCTTAATAGCAATTCCTCAAACAAGATGTGCTCCCTTCTCCTGTTCCTGTAATCATAAATGATTATCACAGATTTAAAACATTGCCTCCAAGTGCTGGGGTGAAGGTGCAGAGCCCTTTTCACCTCTGAACAAAAAAGGGGCAGACCCAGAAACCTCACTGTGGTTGGTGTGGTGGCTGAATCCATTCCAGCTTCTGAACTTCTTAATGGACAGCCAGGGTGGTGAGCTTCTGCCAGATTTAATATTAAACAGCACATGCAAATGCATGAAAGCTATTTGGAAGTACTGCCTGATAAGGCTATATCCCACTCGCGGTGTGTGTTATTTATTGTGAACTGACCAAAGGTGAGTTGTGTGCTACGGGTGTGCCCCACATCAGATGAAGCACAACACACAAGTCAGAAAGGTTGAACCGCAGGTTTAATCAGTTACTAATATTAAATATTATTATGATGTGGCCACAGGTTTGTCTAGAGATAGATGAGAAATGAT